CAGAGTGGTCCTCATGAAAAGGAGCTGGGATGGGCTTAGTGGCATATCAGACCAAGAATAACAAATACCAAAGAGCCAACACACTGCACTCTTCCCATTGTGTGGGGCTTCTGGGCAGTGAAAATCCTTGCACTGCCTGGCTGGTTTTGAAAGGCTTGCTCTTACTGCCAAGGGTCTGCCAAACACTTTCTGGACACAAAGGAGAGCACAGTCCTTGCCTGAAGGGGATGATAGTGGCAGATGAGCAATGAGGAAAAGAAACAAATGAGAGAGAAGAATAAGGCATTTCAGTGCTGGGAAGTGTGGTTTGCCCCGGTGTATTTTGAGAAGCTGCAAGAAACGTGGGTTCTTTTAAAGTTAAACAGATATAATTTATCTCCATTCATTTTCTCTCTTTCTCTCTCTCTCTCTCTCTCTCTCTCTCTTTCTCTCTTTCTTTCCTTACATACTTATTTCTGCAACCTTCAGATTTGTAATTCAAGGTCTACCACCCTTCAATTTCAGCTTTCCAACATTTTGCAGAAAAATGCCTCTTGCTCCTTGTCCCCTCCTCCCCCAAATCCAGGACACTAAGCAGAGGGGTACCTAACCCCACTGAGATCGAATAGGCTTAACCAGATTTAGGTGCCTAAATACCTTTGAGGATCTAGGTTTTAATCAGCTCATTTAATCATCTCCTATAGTCAAAATGCACAAACAAGATCTTAAAGCCAGTGGCTTTGACATCCAGTGCAGAACAGGCCCTCCACATACAGGCTCTGAGGCAAAAGGTCAGGAAAGTCCCAAAGAGCAGAGCTGAGGTGGAGGTGGGTATTGCTCGCCAGTCAGCAGCACGGTGCCTGTCAAATGGTGGAGTACTCATCAAAAGAGACATGCAGGATTGGCAGCAGAGCTGTTTTCTGCTTCTCCTGCCCCATATTCTTAAGAAACCTGATTTCTCCATGAAGGCTGGGTTATCCAGAAGCAAGAAGGTGCCATGGAGAATTTCAGCCAGGCTGACACAGTTTTGGGGAGAATACTTCTTCCCATTAAAGAGCACAGACAACAAGTCAACTAACTTCAGTCACAAGCAATATAACAGAGAGATACCTAGGAACTCATAACTGTGGCCACTCCTGCTGCCTTACCACAAAATGAAAAAGTAGCCCCCTAATTTTACTAAAAACTAATAATGATATTTCTGTTACCACAGAGCTCACACGTCAGTCCCACTCTACTACAGAATACAGCCCTGCTATGTAATGTATGAACAGAAAAAAAGTAAAACAACAACAAAAAAAAAGGTTCCCTTTTGACTAAAGAAGTTTAAAAGAATAGACAGTGTCAGAGGCAGTGTCAGCACTGTAGCAGCTAAACCATAAACAAGTTTGGGCTGCAGTTTTGGGGAGAGCATCATATGAAGAGATCTTTCAGGGAGAAATTTAAAGGAAAATAACCAGGCTGGTTTTTTTTTTGTTTTGTTTGTTTGTTTGTTTGTTTGTTTGTTTTCCCAGTGATTTATGGGCAGCCTGCTGATAAGAAGATGCAGATGATGAGGGCTAAGCAGTGCTATGCTACAAACTGTGGCAGTGCCAGATCCAGGGCTCAGTGAGGGCTCTGCTGTTCGGAGCAGATGGCAGCTGGGCACGAGACACAGACACACATGGGAGCACTGAGCCCCTGCAGTAAGGCATTTCTCTGCTACCTTGCTCAGGAGGTCTGACACAGCTGTACACACAAGACTTCTTCCTGAGTTGCTGTGTATGGAGATGCAAACAGGTGTTATAAAAATAAGAATGTCAAGTATGCCTTTCACAGAGGATGTGGGTTTTGAGCACATTAAAAAGGAAATTTTCATAGAATCCTGAACTGGGAGGGACCCACAAGGGTCACTGAGCCCAACTCCTGGCTCCACACTGAGCAATCTAATAATTTAACCATTTATCTAAAAGAATTGTCCAAACACTTCTTGAACAGCAACAGGCTTGGAGCATTTCAATAGGCTTTGATATTGTAGCAGTACCTTTAGCATGGATTAGAAAGGGGCAGAAGGCTGGGGTAACAACTGATTTATTAGCAGTAGTTCTTGGAGGAATGGCCATTGTTGTTTTCTTCAAGGAGCAGTCCCCAAACCTAGGGCTGTACTGGGTTTTGGCTGCAGGCCTCCTTCAAAACAGTTGTTTCAGAAACCCTTGCAGGTTTCTTGGATCGCTCGCCTTTCAAATCACCTCCCCAGTACCCAGTTCAGCTCTTCTCTTGCTCTGAATGGTGCTAAGAAGAGCTCAAACTGACAGAGATGGAGGATAGTAATGGGTAGTGAGCATCTGCTGCACTCCTGTGGAAGCACCACTACGCCCGATGGTACTCCAGGCTACTGCTCTCCATCAAGGACCTGCTCATTTCCATCCTGCTCGCTCAGTTCTCAACCCTCACACAGCAGCTTTGACTAGGGCCTTGCTCAGGATGCAGCTAAGTCCTGCTGCGTGGCCCCAGTCCCCTGCTTGCTGGGAAGGTAGGATTTCTCAGTTTATGAAGGTACCACAAGACTAGTTACTCCAAAAATCCTGCTAAATATCAGTGCAGGAGCAATGCTTAACTCTTGGTGAAATCAAGGAGAGCCAAGGACTTGACCTGATGAGATGTTTTTAGCAAGAAGTCTTAAAAATATGGCCCCTCTGCATTTTCAGGGAAATAACCACCCTTGAAGGTCTGACTGCATGATTTCTTTATCGTTCCAGAAGTGCACAATGAGTTAGATAAACATTGCAACATTTCCAGTGAAAAGAGGCATCATTGCAAATTGTAATCAGGCCTGAGGATTCAAATCCTCCTTCCAGGTACATCTGCGTGACCTTGGATCCAGGGGGGCAGAGCTCCATGCATAAAATGGGGAGCTCTCTGACCTGTCGGTATCAAGATGGATTAGAAATTCAACTCAAGCCCTGCACAGCTGCACGGTAACCTACAGGGGAATCCCTGAATATGCTTCCAGCTTTCAGGTTAGCTTTCACTGTTATTAATTTCCTTTTATAATCTCCATTTCATGTTTACCAGCCCAGGAACAGATTCTCAGCTGGTGTAAATCAGCAGTAATCCACTGCTGTCAAGTGAGAGGCACTACGTTACAGCAGTGGTGGGAACAGCCCCTAGCTATTAATTGTTTTGCAACTCTCTCTTGACAGGAGCAATCTCTTTCAGAATTTGAGACTAAATAAAAAAATAAAAGTCCCCCTTTGAATAGTTCGGTCTTGTAATTCCCTCTTGATCTCTTCTCCTGCTGCTGAAGAGCACCGAGCACCCTGGCAGGATCAGACCCTCAGGCATCTTGATGACTGTGCCAGCCCTCTAATTTTGGTGTAATGATAATGATCAGGCTCACAGTGAGCCTTGACACATATTTATTAATTGCAAGGTGCGGCTGGCTTTGCACTTTGCTAAGACAAACACTTGCAGAACATGTGCACAGAGGAGCTGGAAGCCGCCCAGCCGTGTGTCGGCAGCGGCTGGAAGGGAAGGAAATGGCCGACTGCCCTGCTCCGCAAGGCCAGGCGCTGAAAACCCTGCCGGAGGAGGAAGGACCTCCTTTTGGGGGGTTTGGATTTCCTTTTGGAAAAGAAACCTTTCCTGTTCCACCAGACACCATGACACTGGGTCGAGGTGACAGGAGCGGCGCAGAGACAGGGCTGGCCATGATGTGGTGACATTCCTGGAGAGCAGGGCAGGCAGGCCCTGCCCATGAGATGGAGGCGATGTGTGGGGATCCATGTGTTTAGGGCAGTGACATGGCACATCCCGGGGGGCAGGATGGGGGTGTGCACCCATGGGGTGCTGGTCCTGCAGCCATGAGGTGGCCCCGGTCCTGTGGGGCCAGGCTGCTGGGTGCCTGAGGCAGAGGAACTGGAACGGGACTGGGGCTGGACAGGGAGGAGCTCTTGTTCTGCTGGTGATACTAAAAAAATAAATGAAAAGTGACTACACAGCATTTATTTACTGCGCTGCAGTGCCCAATGACTCACTGCTGGTAGTGCTTTCCTATATCAGCGATTAAATTACCCTCTCACGCGAGCAGCTTCTTCCTTTCCTCAGGCCTGTGGATTTACCTGTGGTGATACCTGCCAAGCAGAGGCAGCATGAGGTGCCTCACTGGGTCCATACCTCGACTGTGGTGCAGTTACACCTGCCAAAACTGCAGCGTAGTGGCCTTCCTGTACCACTGGCTGCTAACTCGCATTGTCTGGAGCAGCTTCCAGAGCCCATGGATACACCGGCCCTCAGATGATCTATCCAGCCTCAGCCGTGCCAGCCTGGTGCTGGTCGGGATGCTCCAGGAATTCCTGCTGGATACATGCAGCCCCCCGACTCAGTGCGGAGGATAAACTTCCTCCCTCATTTCAAGCACTTTCTATATGTCTAGAGACGTCTTGCGGAAACAAACTGTACCTGATAAAGTGCCAGCATTAATCCATGTGATGTATTTAAGTGTGGCTGTTTAACAGCAACATATCAAGTTAATGCAATACTGATGGAATAAGAAATGGCATCAGAGGGTTTCAAAAGACTTCTTATCACAGGGGAAAAAAAAGGATTTTGACTTCCCATTTCATTTCTCTGTGAATGAGAACACCTTTGCTATTTACATTATTTACTGTTTACCATAGTAGAGTCACTACTAAAAATCAAAGTGATTTGCAGAGCCCTGCCAGTTCTTTTTATATCTCCTTTGCTGACTCAATAAACATCTGACACTCTGGTATTGTAACTAAGCACTGTACTGATTCTAGCCTCGTTGAAAACATCTTTCTAAGAGAGAAGAATTGTTCTGCTTCTGCTAAAATGTGATTTGTCTGGCGAAGCATTTGTAAAAGCTTTTTTTTTTTTTTTCCCCAAAATGTTACTGTGGCAATTGGAAGCATTTAGGCATGTACGGTAACTTGAGAAGCTATGTGAAATCTTCTGATATGCAAATACACTGCTGTACACATGGCGAAGAAAAGCTTTGGGCACGTTCATATGAAACAGAGTGGCGTTAACAAGCAATTCCCTTCTTTGCTATTTAGAAAGGAAACTTCATACTGAAAAATAATACACAGTGAATATTCCAGATAAACCTGTACTGGGAGGTGACCTGTTCTGAATCCAGAACAGTCCTGCCCCAGGCTAGTTCTGCTCACCCCAGTGCAGTCACCTCTAAATACCAGAAAGCGGAATTGAGGCCAAGGAGCTGACCCAGGGTGCAGGGACAGCAGCGGGTAGTGACAGGGCATTGCATCTCCCGGCCTTCACCAGGCAGAACTGATCTGGGTAGACGTCCCACAGGAAAATGTTGCCTTCCTGTCTGAAGAGGACACGATGCCTCTGGCTCATATCTGCTCCTGGATCAAAATTCAGGCAGAGAACAGACAATGGGAAGCCAAAAAGGATGGCTGAACAAAACTCCACCAGGGTGCTCTTGGATCCCAGCCACAGGCAAGCTTTCCAGGTCAGTACAGAGGAATTTATGAGCACATAAATCACAGAAGTGAAAGATGGGAAAGACCACTGGAGGACTTGTCAATGCAGGCCTGTTTTCTACAGGGACTTTCCCATTGTGTTGACAGTTTTAGGAACTTCAAACAATAGGGCTTTAGCTTTCCTCTGGACACCACTCGAGGTGCTTAGACACCTATCTGAGCCTTTCAGCATCTTGGTGCATTTCATGAGACCTGTGCAGCTTCCTTGCAGCTCTTACTGAAGGTTGTTACACTCGGATTTCTTTTTGCTATTCATTTCATGCTGATTCTACAATGCAGCAAAATCAGAAGTGGAGGTGGTCACTTCAGGCTTGCCCACACTGTGGATTTCCAAAATTTCCTTCCAAGAAAACTCAGTCAACAGGAAGAGCAGTTGTGAAAAGCACCCCCCCCATACAGACAATCTGGGTTTGGATTTTAGTGAAGTGCAAAATGCATTATAATAATGGAACAAAGGCACTGCATGCAGAGTTACTGTGGAATAGCTGCAGTGCATTGCAGATACACTCTGCCCTACAGCAGAAAGTCCTCTGAGCAGTCAGGTCCCTAAGATTTGAGCCACTTCCACAAATTGCTTCTAGAAACTAGGCTGAGTTTCAGCAGCACAGATCACATCTTCAAATGGCTCTGCAGGTCTGTACCAGGGCAGGCTCTGCATCAGCAGCTACTCAACAACAAATTCCCAAAGAAGATGTAAGAAAGAAAGGGCATGCAGAGAGATCGAGGAAACCGCCTCTGCCCCTAACATCTGAGAGTAAGGCTGCTAGAGCAAGAACAGAGTCCTGTTTGTGCTTAAATTCCACTTTATATTCTCTGTAGAGAAGAACAGAGTCTGCTGGCATTTTGCAATGATTGCAAGAAATTCAGTGGTTAATTATATCCTCTGTTTTTTGCCTCGCTGTCTCAGTGCACATTCACATGAGTCCTAAAAAGAGTTTACTGTTCACATGCCTAGGCTCTGGGCCAGGAGAAGTGCCTAGATAGAATACTGTGAAACATCTCCTCACGTGCTGTGATAAAATGCTTGGGGACATACTACACAGAGCTCTGAGCGTGCCTGCAAAGCCATGAAATATTATGTCATCAGCACTGCAAGTTCTGCAAGGTTGTAAGCTCAGAGCAGTCTGTTGACCAAAGTAGGACACTAACAAATAGCAGCCAGCATTCAAGGGCTGAGGGGACTTTCCAACCCCATCTGCCACGGACAGTAAGGATGCCACTGACCAAACTGTGCATCTGAGAGCAGGGGGAGAAGCGGGGGATTAACACGCTGGGCAAAAAGGAAGAAAATGGCAAAAAGCAGGCAGAGAGCAGGAGTGGCAGGGCTGTGGGAGGCTCGGGAGGACTCTCCAAGCAGTGATGTGCTTAACCGTTTCCTCTCACCCTGGGCTGGTCGCTTGCTGTCAGCGTGTGAAAGGGGAAGGCAGCGGTGTGCCACTGTGGTGTGCCAGGTGAGAACCAGGAAGGAGGGGAGCTGAGGGGGCAGTGGGCGGCCCAGAGCTCAGCCGCAGCTGGAGGAAGGTGGTTTGTGCCAGCAGATGGCTCGTGTTTGGAACCCATCACCACCCGTCACAGGCTCTTTCACATCGGTCTCATCACTATTTAAGCACTGATGAAATATAAAGAAGGATGGATACCTGAGGTCCCTTGCCCTGTCTGTCTGTGTGCCTGTGAGCAGCCTGCCTTCTCCATGCGTCTTTCTCTCTTGTGTCAGAAAGGAGTCCTTGCTTACAAGCAGAGCAGCTCTCAGGGCCCAGCCACCACGGCAGCTCCCTGGTGTGGGCATTTGCTCAATGTGCTCAGCTAAGACAGAAAGCAGTAAGCACATCCAGTGCTGAAATGGAAAAAACGGGCTTACCTCCTAGCTTCCCACCGACTTACTGGAAGCCTACAGTTAGCTCTGCTTACCAGCAAGGTGTTCCTTCCCAGCCGCCCTGTCAGCAGTCTTGATAACCTGAGAGAATCATCATAAAGCACACTTTAATGAGAGGGTCCCATGACAAAACCCTCTCTTGCCCACCAGAATTTGGCAGGTAGCACAAACCCTGCCAGAGTCTGTCTTCTTCCTTTACAAAGCACTTCAGCTCCAAGCTCTTGACTGAGACCTACCAAGTGCCCTGATTTGTTCCTCCTCCAACAATTCCTCGGCTGTGGCTTTTTGCAATGAATGCCATACTGCAATATTTCCTTGGGGCTTCCTGGCTCTCGCCAGAAGGCAAGGAGAAGCAGGATCAGCAGCAGGGTGGTACATGAGGCTCAGGTCAGCGCTGCAATGCAGTCATATCTGTGGTGATCCCAGTAGTTTGTAGCTGCAAGCAAGCTGTTCTTGACTGCCTGCCCGCCCTGAAAGGCAGACTTGGCCATCTGGCCTGCATGATTGCAAATGGGGGGAGGATGTGCAGGTACTGATCGTTTTTGGCATGGCACAGAACAGAGTGGGAGGGTGACTGGAGGCCGACTGAACAAGCAGAGAAGTGTTAGTCCTTGCAGTGTGCCTGCTAGTGGTGAGCAGAGCACAGATTGGCTCCAGTGGTAATGCCCAGGGGAAACTGCACCATGTGGGTGTTTCAGCTGGGCCTGCTGAGGGTCTTTTGCTAGCAGGCTCCAAGAGGAACAGCAGGCGAGGACATCAGGAGACACAGGTTTGATTTCTGTGGGGCTGCTGAGGAGAGCTCCTTCCTCTTGGCCTTCTGCCCTCTGCCCCAGCACTACTCAGTGCTGAGACCTTTGGAGCTGGGGCTGTGCCTCCAGCTGGGTGTATCCGCAGCATCTGGGTGCCTTCACCTGTAGACAAGTTCAGCTAATCACAGCGAGGTCCTCCCTTGTTTGATTTTCTACCTTTGCTCAACCCTCTGCCTCTGTATCTTTGTTAGTGGCAGAGAAAAGTGTGGCAGGAAAGGGTTAATTCGTTGGCGGGGAGGGGGAGGTTTGCAGGCAGAAGGGAGGAGCAGGAGAGCATTTCTGTATTAACATGCAGCTGGTTAATGCAGCTGAATAGCCCTGGCTCAGCTGTTACCTTTCTCAAAGCCAATGGCAAATGATGAAAAACCGTGGTAATATCTATTAAAAGTTTGTGGAAGGGGCCTGCTCAGTGGGAGCTTTTCCATCTCACATACAAGTGATGATTTAGAACAGAGAAAGATCCCCTCGAGGGGATTTTGTGAACCATGCAATGCTAATTAACTCCATTGTTGTATTTTGTTTTGAACATAAGAGTCCCTCTGGGATTGCAGCACTCTTTCCTCCTGCAAGAGATTTCCATTTTGCACCACTGTATAAAATCTCCTCCACATCGCATCAGCAAAAGGGATTAACAATAGGGAGAAGCATATGTGCATAGTTTTATGGGGTTCTAGGGAGGAATGTCTCTCCCCTCACCTCCCAGATGCGTTCTCAATAGGGGCTATTCTGTACATCCTTGCTTTCACTGTTTCTTTAACCTTGAATTAAAAACAAGTGTACATCAAACACTGGGCAGCACCTCCCTTTGATCTTCAGCATATTCAAACCACTTCCGAACATGCTGTGCTGGAGTTTGTTTTAGTGGTTAGCTTGTTTGGGCACAAATGTGATAGAAGAAAAAAAAAAAAAAGACAAAAAAGACTCAGCACCCTAAAAAATCAACAAAACCCATCAATACCAGGAGTGGAAGCACTGGTCAGATTCTGATTTGCTCATCTAGAGTTCCTCCTGAAAGAAAAGTAAGAAAATAAAGCTCCCATCTGTCTGAACTCCTTACTGGCTTGAGCCAACAACACTATGAAGAAACTTGACTCGCTTTGTGCTGGGTCTGCTCTTCATTTTCTGGACTTGTCCCACTTCAGCTTGCCCAAACACTCTCTTCTCTGCTCACTCATTTTATGTTGAGCAAAGTGGATCCTGACTCACCCTCGTGCTCTGGCTACTGCAATGTAGTATCAGGAGCATCAAGACTTTCATGTGAATCAAATGGCTTCTTTCCCCATTCTCCATCTTCAGTCTCTGGCTTCCATTGCCTCTGAGAAAGCCCCGCTGCACATGTGGTGTCTTGGATCCTCCCTTTTCTACCCTGCCTTAAGTTTCAGCTCTACACAGGCCAGTATTGACAGAGGGTTGATGCCCTTCTTCCTGCCTCAGGCAATTCGGTGATTTCACGGTGAGCTGTGCAAGGGAGCGGCCAGTGCACGGCTGTCAGGTTGACTTCTGCTGGATGGAGCTGGGACTGCACTGGGAGCTACCAGGAGCTCCCCACCACCAGCTGCTGGGGGGATCTGTGCACTCCTCCAACAGGGATTTTGCAAATCAGAGACTTTCTCCTGATCCATATAAATTCATATAATCCATATAATCCAATAAATTAGGTCATGATTCTTAATTGGTGATGAAATCTATTTTATTATAACCTGGGCAATTTTTGAAATTTCTAAATGAACAACAGGAAAGACATTTAACAGCAATTGCAAGAGTGATTTTTCCCTTGCAGTAGCACATTCAGTGATCCCAGGAGAACGTGATCCTGAGACCACCTCTTGTTCAAATACTGTGACATTTTTTTTTATACCGTAGAGTCTTGAGGGCTCTTATTACAACATTGGGGTTGTCTATTGCAGCAGAGGCCAGAGCATGCTAGCATATATAAAACAACATGCTGAAAGGATGTTCAGAGTCATTCTGTCTGAAAAGTCCACTAAACCTTTTCTGTTTGAGAGTTACAGCTCCACATAAATACAGACACTCTGTTTCTCTGTTTCTTTTCTTTCTCTTCTTTTCTTTCTTTCTTTCTTAGTAACAAATGTCAGAATTTAAAAGGAAAAACCTCAGTGGGACAGGCTTCCCATTCCAAAATCCTCAGTTTACTTCAGACACACACAGTGATGTGGTGACCTCTATGTCTTCTCACATCTGTATGAAATAGTCAGGGCAGCTCATCAGGTTTACCTCATCAACATCCAGAGAGGGAAGGGTAAGAGCCACCCCATTTTTGAGAAACATTTCCAGTGCAGTGTTCTAAACGTGAGTGCATTTGCCAAAGTCTGCTGTTTTTTTCACCTTTTAATATATATAGCTACAAGGGAAGATTTCTGCGAACTGAGCAAGCCTGCAAGTCATTTTTCCAGTCCTCTTTGCAAGCTTATCTTCCCTTAGCGCCTGCTGACCATCGCCTTGTTAACGTGTGGGTATCAGTGTGACCATCAGCACAGCAGCCACAATCACCTTCTTGCAACATGTTAGTTCTTCACCCATTGCCCTGAGCCGCCCAGTCTGGTGTACAGCTCGTGTCCAAAAGCCAACGAGTAGTTTCCAGTAAGTGTGCGATGGGGACACCAAATGACACATGAGAAAACAAGCTCTTTTATGACTGGTGAGATCACAGTGAGACAAAGTACAGTGAAGGCTTTCTGTAGATACTGTAAGCAGACTTTGCATGAAGCCCTGCTGCTCCTGGCACCACAGAAACATCATTGTCTCCCAGGCTAGGTATAGAAGACACCTGAACTCCCAGAAGTTTTATTCCCACTGAGTTTTGCTGCATCTTCCCATCTGTGTGCTCAGCCCAAAGAGGTCCAGGCTGACTCCTCTGGGTTCCCAGGTGCACCCTGCAGCCTGACTTGTTCACCTCTGGTTTCTTTACTTCAGCAGCAGCTTGAAGATATTCTGTAGCTGCCATGATATAGATGTTTAATTTCAGTATTCCTTTCCTCCCTGTGACCCATGGCTTTCCACAGCTTGCTAGAACGAGCGAGGAGCAGCTCTTCTGCTACTTTAGCAGCTTTCACCTAACGTTAGGAACAGGCTGGATATGGGGAAGGGAGGCACGAGGAAGGATGGGAGCTGCTTTCACAGCTGCTGAGTTTTCACCCAGCCACTTCCTGAGCCTTGCATCACTATGAGAGCGTTTCCCCATGTCAGATGGAAATAGAGGGAGGGCAGTTAGCCCTGCTCATCACAGACAGCACACATTACTTGCAAATATTATTTTAGCGTGTCCCTGTTCTTCCCTGTCTTGGCCTAATATTTGCAGTGGATAATTTCTAAAGCCTAAATAATATAAGCTTGTGATTGAACATGCTTTTCCTGAGCTAGACTCCACCCTGTTCCAAAGTAATTGCCTCTTCTCAGTGCCCTGCATTAAATAATAGGTCAGAGATTCAACCTCCAAGCCTTGCAGCCAAACTACAAAGCTTAACCCACCTGATTGAGTCTCCTGGGGCTCCTGGGTGGCACCCTAATCCATCCCTCTTCCTTCCTCTGTCCCTATGGGCTCTACCATTGGGCAGAGGCAGGTGTCGCACTGGAATGCATTTCAAAGCCCCAGAAGCCTTGCTTTAAGCCAGTTGCAACCTTTGTGCAATAAACTTTCTCCCAGAAGAGAGGTGATAAAGCTTTTAAAATTAATTTGCATAATTGGATCTTTTAATTCTTTTTAAATGGAAACCAAAATGGCAGTGCTCTCAACAAAAAAAGACATTCATGAAAGCCAATGGGGTGGTTGCAAGGTGGAGATGCGTCACTGGGCTGAAACTAAGCTGAGACAAAAGACATTCAGATACACTGAGCAGGATTCTGATTGCAGATAAAGTGGTGAAAGTCTCTGGGAACAGCACTGGCTTCAGTAAAATTACTTCACACTCATGTCAGTGTAACTGAGAATGGGTCTGCAGTAATAGTTTTAACTTTTCAGCTCTGTGGTTAATTAGCAACCCTTTTAGTTTATGGCTTTTTTTTTTTTTTACTCAAAAATTTAATAGATTAATAAACACTGCAGATATTTTTTACAACAGCAGGGTAAGAGATCCATTTGCGTAAAAGACCAAGACACCGTTTGAGTTCATCCAACTGTTATTATTTAATCTAGCAGAAATTTTGGCCCACTGAGATATGATTAGGAGAGCTGTGTGAAGAAAACTGGAGACAGTTCAGGTAGTGGAAAACCATTCTCATGTGCCTGTAAATGAAAAGCAACACTCCTGATGAAGTGCAATGTATTTTACCTCCTGAATTACATGTGTGGCTTTATATGGTGTTTTCACCTTAAAACAAAATAATAAAAAAAAAGCAATTTTAATAGGTACAATCCACCACAGTCATTTCTAAAGAACTGTTTTTATTGTTAAAAATACCCACATGGCAAAGTGCAAACCTGTTCTACAAGAAAGCTCAGTTTTCTCTCTCTGCTCACAACAATTCATTCTTTAATCAAATATAAAGGAACTCTGTCTGTGCCCTCTGCTCACCAGCGCTGTCAGTTAGCCAAAGCAGCCCGAACACCAGCTAGAGGCTTGTGGCCACAAACCTTGTTAGCCTTTGCTTCCAACCAGTAGTGCAATCGGCATGCCAAAGCCCAGGGGAGGTGGCAGCACACAAGCAGATCTCCACCACTTGTCAGTCCTCCTGGGTGCTTCATCACCACGCGTGCCATGGAAATGTAGCACAAGTAGCAAGAGAGGGCAGGAAGCCCATGGATAAATTCTGCTTACGGCTATCTCAGTGTAAAGACACAACAACTGGAGCCAGCTTGCTTAATTGGGATTCTCACCTGGACACCCAAAATGCCTGAAGAAATAAGGTATATTTGGGCTGTTGCAGACAGTTCCAGGAATAAAGCTGAGTAGTTGAGGTTAGTTGCAAGCACTGCTGCTCAGAGCAGTTTTAGGTAGTTCACAGCTCTCTGAGGCAGCAGTATTGCCCATATATATATATATTTGGTACTTTTTCAAGAATCCTTGTAAGAATAAAAACTGTGTTGCTGTAAATTAAAAAAAAAAAAAAAGAAATACAGTGAGAGCAACACATACCACACCGTGGCACCAGGGATGTGATCTGCAGTAGGAAACACATGGCTTTATGTTTAATGAAGGGAGCCTGTTGAAGGATTGCAGACCAGGAGGGCACACTAGATTTGTTGTTTTATTAGGTTCTGGGTTATGTACTTCTCCTTTTGCTGGGTATCTGACAACATGTGCCATTCCGCTTGCAACCGAATGAGCTGGGGGGAGGAGGGCAGAAACAAAGCATTTGTGAAGGACTGGAGCACTTTATTTTCTACCTTTTGAGAAAAGTGTTAAGCGTAAAAAAAAATAATATATATATTTATAAAGGGTACTATATATATATATATAATTGTCTGAACTAGAAACAGACAGAAAGAGAAATGCAATGTAAGTAGACAGAAGAGCATAATTGTTCTCCTAGAGCACACAGACAGAATTGTTGGAAATATATAAAATATACTTACCAACATCCAGTTCTTTGAATTTCTGCACTTAAGATGCAGCAAAAAACCCTCCAGTTTATCAGGGCCAGATTTTGAAAATAATTCACTGCCTGCAAGATGAATTGAAGGCACTTTCCCTCACACATTGGATAATTTGCACTTTATGGGGTCAGGAACTACAAGCCTGTGATCGGCTGGTGCTTCTAGGTACAGCTTTCTACTCTCAACCTTTGGAGTTGACTGAAGCTGGGGGGTAAAGAGCACTGTTGGGGCTGGGGCTTGCTGCCTTTCCTAATCCAGTACACCTGTAGGCCACTGCCAGAAGGGCCCATCCCAAACTCCTCTCTGACCCTGTTTGCCTGCTGAGACACATCGCCAGCACTTCAGTATGGATTTTGTGATCCTGCAGCAAGCACTGCTCAGTTTCAAGTCTGCCCAGTTTCTCAGAAAGCTGCCCTTTTCACACGTGCCTCAGAAACCCCTTGATATCAGGTTAGCAAGCAGTGCTGGTTTGCCTATAGTTGTACAAGAGCTAGATTTGAGGCATAAAGAGGTAAACTGCAATCCATGGCTGAGGCAGAGAGAGAAGAGCTGGTTTACCTCTTCCAGTAATAGCCTACACAGGTACAACACGAGGCCAGGTTGCTAAAATGTGATCCAAAACACCCCCCAGGAAGCCCAGGCCTCCCGGCAGTACAGTGTGGAGCTGTCAAAGTGATCCCGTAGAAAATATGAACAACAGAGGTGATCACCAAACTCCTTCCCATGCCCCAACTTCAGCTGTGGAAGAGGGCTGCAGGAAGGCTCATGTCTGCTTGTCTGACCTCTGACAGCTCCAAGCCACCTCCTGAAGAGCACAGAAACACTCTTGCAGCCTTTCAGGTGGTGGCCTTCCATTTCAGGCACTGATTGAAGAGATGGAGATGGGCTCAACTCTTCCCTAACTCAGAAAAAAATCAAACACATGCCTCCTCGAAATGCGCAGACTGAGGAAATTCTTGGGAGTGAGGACAGGGAATCCTCCTCTTGATGGTCTATTGGTCTGTGGCAAAGGATGTAAAGTTCACAGGGCTGGAACTAAGCAGAAAGCATTAATCCCACTCTCCCCTCCCAGATCATTGGTCAGGGTAGTCAGTATAGGGCAGATGGGAGGAAGAACAAAAAAGGATTTACATCTTTGACTCCTGGACTGAAATGCCTGTGAGCTCTAGTTGCTGTTTCCAAACCTTCTGTCTTCAGTCATCATCTCTCATCACAGGAAGATCAGGCTTGCTTTTCCTCCCAAAAAACTTGTTTCCTTGGTTCAGCAGAACTTGGACATATCTGGAGCTTTCAGGTCAAAAAGCAGAGGTGCTGATTGTGTTTAAAGGCAGATGAATGGCCTTTATTTCTCTAGCTGTTATTCTTAAGCGTTTTAAATCTGCAAGAGATCTTGTGGTGCTTGGCCCCCTCCCTTTGTTTTGAGTACAGGGCCCTGTAGGCATGGAAACCAAACAGCAACCTCAGGTCTGCTTTAACACTGTACATCCTCATTCCTCACTTCACACCTCAGTTACAGACTAAACTCCTGGATAACCTTCAGAGTCCCTGTCATTATATGCTTACCTCCAAAACAGTTATGCAGAGGAGTCTCCCGTATTACTCTACAAGCAGGTTCCAGTATAACTTTGTTCTTTAGCTCTTCCCCACCTCCAAGGTCAGTGCCTGGATCTGCCCATGTCTTCATGGTATCATGGATCTCATGCACTTGGCTAGCAGAGCACTTACACTAGCACAATTTCACCTACTAACAGCCCAAGCCTGTTGCACAATGAAATCATCCCTACGGTCCTCTGGTTCCAGGATTTCACCCCTCAGGTGGCAACTCTGTACCCTTTCCACTCTCTCCCCAAGCCCCTTGGAGACCACCTTATGAACAACACGGTGTAAGTGTGTTTGCACTGGGAAAACAGGCTCCAGGATATTAATAGCTGGAATTTCTCACTCCCACACCATGCAAATACCCATTTATTAGATGCTAGAGCTACTAGACAGTCTGGTGACAGTGTCTAACAAAACTAGTTATCCGGTGCTAGTTCAGTTAACAGACCCCATATTTACAGTCTGTCTTCGTTTTTGGATGTATAGATAGGCTCAGGCTCTTGGAATAGATTTTCCCCTCCCTGGTGTCTTCCAGACAGAAATCAGTGCTGAAGTTGGTCAGCCAGAGGAGCTGGGTGTGACGAAACCCTCTGCAGTGCCCCAGGCACAGTCCCACGAGATTACCCTGGGGGAACTCCCTTTGCTTTTCATGGTAGAGAGAGATTTCAGTTTTAATTCCCCGGCCACTTTTTCCTCATGAGTTCAGAATAACAAACTGTAACTCCTCAGTGAGAGAACCACTATATTTAGAATTTCTCTAAAAACATCAGGAGAAAGTCCTTAACCCATGGAGTTTTTTTATGATTGCTGCCAGGCTGATAAGTCCGGGAGACAGAAGAGTCTATATAAACAAAAAGATTTCCGGTAGCACAGGAAAGCTGTGCAATACCAAGCTACCTTCACCTTATGACAGACAAAACATTTATAGTTTATTGTCAGGAGGACTCTGGCAGAAAAGCATTTGCCTGAGCCAGAACCCGCTGACCTTTTGCAGTAGGCACAATAAGGCAGTGAGCACCGCTGAGCTGTCAGAACTTCTGCAATAAACCCAAATCCCTTTTGATAAAGGGAATCAAAAGCACACAGCTACCCACCACCTCCTAATAGCACCTGTGACCTCAGCAGTGCCTTACAAATGTGCTACATAGTTTGAGAGCTAGATGCAACACCTGCTTCCTGGCAGCATCCTTTTGGTTTCCTCTGGATAGGTGCTGAGCAATTTAAAAATCACATTCCCCAAGCGCTGACTTCACAGCCATAAGAAAGTTTTCATTTCCTATCGTGCTGTCCTAACGTGACCTGCCCAAGGAGCCTCATCAATATTACAGCAGCAAATGGCTTGACAACTTCCTCATAAATAACACGCTCCCCTTCTGCTTTGTGCTCTGTGTTTAATGCATACTGGTTATTTTAGAAATACTGGGAATGTCACTGAAAGCATGTGGTGATAAGATAAATGTTTTGCCCATCAGGAGTCACAACGCACATGTTGCACCTTGTGACTCACTGCTTAATACAGAAACAACTCAGGGAAGACTCCAAACAAACCTGAAACAGGTATAGTCGCTCTTCTCTTTGTATTTTGTATTATACATATAAAAAAAGCCCACAGCATTGTATCACATTACGGAGTTCACTAACTGGTCCTTGCACACACCTAGCCTACTACAGCATGAAAAGCAGCAATCCATTCCAGTCTCTCGCTTGATTTGCATAAAGAGGAAGCAATTATTTTAATTTCAGAAAAGTTCTTTAAAAGGGGGAGGGGGGAAAAGAAGAGAGAGAGCTCAAGGAAAAAAATGAAACAAGCCAAAATAATACCAATCCAGCGGGAAGTCTCCATCCTTGGGTGGTGGGCTTGAAATGCAAGCCTATACTCAGAGCCACAGTCTCAGTACATAAGCCACAGCACACCTGCTCAGCCATCAGCTCTAGGGGTGTTGAAAAACAAAAGGAGCTTTAATCTTTTCATGTTTAACTGTTATTTCAACCAGTTTAAACAGTTATTTAAACATTAGGTTTCCACAGCCCCCCCCAAAGCCCCTCGGTGCTTGCGATTCCAAGCTGCTCAGTGGCTTTCTCATACCCACAGCCCATTCTGTGCTTCAGTTCCTCCACCTGTGCAACCTGTGAGGTTCTTTGCAAGGTCACTGGGAGCCCAAACCATCTAGCTGAATAACTGGATGTGATTCCTATCAGTATGAAATTAAGTACAAATCCTGGATCCAAAGAAGATGGGGATTCTTCCACGTGTCTTTGATTCAGTCCATGAAATGCAAAGTAGAAGGCAGGCCTCTCTGTTTCGCTTTTTTTTTTTTTTTTTTTTTTTTTCTGGCAAAGTAGAAAATTCTCCACTCAGCACGCAGATTTGCTGCAGTTTGCTTAGACACAAAGCTTCCATCTGCTCTGGCAGGATCATAAACCTCTCGCCTTGGGCCTGGGTTCTGCTAGTCCTGTGCCTTTCTTGCCTTCTCTCCTTTACCAAGGATAAGAAATGAAGTGAGGATAATAGCATTTTATTGCTGAACAGTGAGGATGTGAACGTAAAGGGAGAAGTATATATTCCCCTGCTAAACACATTTATTTGCATTTAAACATGGAAACCCCAAAGATGACTGAAACATTGCATGTTTCCCACCCCACCCCAAACAACTGAATCCATTTACCAGCAGTTTGGTCAAGTTTCAGCACAGCAAGTCCCGTTCAAAAGCAGGACCCTCCTCTCTCCTCTTTTACTCCTGTCTTAACGCTTTGCAAAGCAGAACTCCCGTCACTTTGTGAGTCACAGAGCACTACCAAATAAGCAGCAGTCTTTGAATGGTGCCTCATAAAGGAGGCAGGAAACAGGAAAAGCTCAAAATAAAGCTGTTTGTAAATTAAAGAACTAAGGGGAAGAATGGATAGGAAATGAGACCCCCCCCCTTTTTTTTCTTTCTTCAAAATTATTCTGATTAATGAGAAGAAAGATCAATAGCCTATCTGCAGCTGCCATAGGGAAAACGGGGTGAAGAGTGAATCCAGACCTGAGTATCCCCGTGGTGCCAACACAGCACACTCTGCACAACCTCGATATAATGAGCTGTAGGGTGAGATCTCATGCAACTGCACGGGTTGCTTCGCTGTCCCCGCAGCCCCTCATTACAGCTTGATGTGATCAGCTACAGTGTACCAAGAGGAGACATGGATGGCATATATTTGCGAATGATCAGGGAAAGGATTGCTTTCATTCCTGCAACGCTGCTTTCCGCCAGCTGTAGTTAGAGACCCAAATACTCCAGGTTTCCCTGTGCGTTGCTGCTGTATGCAGCTCTGAAACCATGCACAGACTTTGCACGACACATGGCAACACCTGGGCCCCCATGGGCTGATGCAAAGCATACTAAAAGCAACAAAGCATTCCCACCGACATTTTTGGATTTTGTTTTTTCAATGAGCCCCTAAATGAAGTGCCTCAGATACTGACAGTTCCTTTATTAATGTTTGGTTTGGGGACACCATAATTATGTTTAGCAGCTTTTGTGGGCCAAAAGATTCCTAGATGAAATGACCTGACAGGCTGCTGAGGCCATTTCCACTGTTTTTGGACCACTGTGTAAGAACAGAACAGCTGCCATTTGGATGGAGACCCTGGCTGAAACAGCATAAGGCATCACGCTCCCATCCTCTTTGGCTTGCTCCATCAACAGGGAAAAAGTACCCGGCACTGCTTCATTAAGGCCTTGGCATGCTCCTTAATGGCACTTCTGGTAGTGACAGGCACAAAGGAAGCCTGTGTCCCTACCCACTTTTCCCATCTGTGGCCATTCATGTGCAGATCCGTCCAGAGATCAACTCACACTGGCAAGAGAGATAAGAGGGGACCCTGATGCTGGGCTTCAGAGATTACAGCAGCCAGGCAGGCTCCAAGGGCCAAGGCAGAGCTGCAGAAGGGTGCTCTGTTTTGAGCATCAGCTGGTACACGCAGCCCAGGGCCGCTATCACAGGCGACCTGCCCCAGGCTCTGCAGAGGGCTGGTGGTACAGTTAGGGAGCAAATCCTCCTTTCTAGGGCAAGGGGGAACGTACTAAGCAACAAACAGAGAAAGGCTAGTGCCAAAAAATATTGCTGATACACGTTTGTCAGAGAAAATTCTGCTTCTGTTCTCCAGAAGACTCCATTCTGGCAATGTCCTGCTCCAAACAGGAGGCAACGGGAGGTCTTCAGCAGAAACCTCTCTTGACAAGAGCCACTGCTCCCACAGCCATTGCAGTGATCAGCAGATATGGGGACGCAGTTCTTAAGGAGCTGCCTCCTTGGCTATAAATACATGCAACATTAAAAAATTCTCCATGTGAGTATTTGTAAAATCAAGAAAAACAGCCACACAATGCTCCTATTTAGACTTGCCGAGGAAAATGCTTTCATTTGGGAGAGCTCTTAACTGTATCCTTACACTTGTGCTTAAGCCGCCCCTAAAATTGGCTCAGGCTGCCACAAAACAACAGCTTAAACCAATTTAATTGCTGTCTGCTGCAATCCCACCCGCCTTCCCAGCCCTGGATGCACATTCCCCGTCTCCCTCTTTGCGCCAGCTCTCGTGCTTGTCTCGCCCTGCTCTGAGCCATTTGGGAACGCAAGCCAGACGCACACCCTTGACACCCAAAAAAATCAGTCCCTCCTCTACGAATTTAGCACACTGATGTGACTCGTCATGAGGTCAGATGCACGCCGGAGCTGGTGTGAAGGCAGGAGTGGAACGGCAGGGTTGCGGCAGGGTGGGATGGTGAGGACATGCTCTTCAGAGCTGCGTTCAGAAAGCTGGCAGCTCGTTGCTGTGGTCTCGCTGCCTCTACCTCCAGCTAAGCCACTTAATCCCAGCCCTTGCTGAATTATCCAAAGCCTAGCCTGACCCTCCTCCCTCCACACGCACACACAGAGGCTTGGTTTCTGCAAGGTCAGGAAACTGAAGCAGCTCAGCAAGAGCCTTTACCAGCACGGCAATGCATGGCTGGCGGTGAGGACTGCTCCCTTTCAACACCAGGGAGCCATTAGATCAGCTAAGTGCTGTTGTCAAGCACTACCCTCAGGCTTCTGTATGCATTTGAGTCCCTGTTACCCCCAGGCTGGGGCTACAGAACTGGAGACAAAGCTTTGCACTGAAGAGAGCAAGCCACCCGCTGCAGCGAGGGCTGAGCAGCCGCGCTCCTCTGCACAGGATCCAGCAGCCCTGGTTACACAGCGGCGTCCTACGGGGCAGTTCTGCTAGCCCTGCTGTAGGATGAGGAGGCCAAGGATTAAGTCAGATCTTTCAAGAAGGTCAGTTTAAAGGAATTTCAAAGTAGCCAGAACCTAATACAAAAAAGTAAAAAAAAAAGAAAAAAAAAAAAGAAAAAAAAAAAGAAAAACCACACAGCATGAAGATAACTGACACTTCCGACAGGATGCTCTTCACTCAGGGTTGACGTGCCAGTGCTTGATGACATAGAAAGACTTTTAAATATGAGGATAAGTGTTCATCTGTAAAGAATTTTTCTGCATACATTATGTAGCACTGTACCTTCTACACCTCACATGTAGCTGTCTGTACCTATAAATAGCAATGATGCCTCATGTGCATTATCATATATTACAACCTGTGACAATGTGGTAAAAGGAGAGGAAATGAGCAAAGGAAGTGGTGTGCTCCGCCAGAACAAGCAAACTTAGCAGGGCCCTGGTAAGTCATCTTCAGACAAATCAATTATGTGAAATATTCCAGAAATGTGTGGAAAAGCAAATTGCTTATCAAGGAGACACTAAACCAATGGGTTTGTTGCATGACACAGAACAAAAGACAAGTAATCTTGTGGAACAGCTAAAAGACCAAAAGGAGTTCTTGCATGCCCCAAACCAGAGTAT